TATATAAGGAATTATAGTATTTCTATCATGAGTGTGCAGACATTTGACTTTTACACATGGTACAAGTGTTTTATGATGCTTGTAATGAATAGGAGTTAGCTGTTAAGAAATTCCTATTATTTAAGCCAGTAAAACGTAACTTATTACACTTTTAAAGGATCATTTGCCCATCCCTGCTTCGCTGGGGTTCGCTGACCTTGCCAAATGCAGATAGGCCGTTGTGTTCAGATGGATCCGCTCCAGTGTCGACAAGCCAGTTATCCGCCCTGAGGAGAAAAAAACAGTTAGGACTTCCCCAGCAGATTTGGTGCTTCAAAGGTCACATAGTGTACTTTGAAATGTGATAGTGTTAGGATATTACAAATTAAAATATATATATTTTTCAAACTCATACAAACAAAAGAAGGTGAAAAAATACATAGATTCACTTTAGGAGGTGTCAGACAGTTTTCTAATCCTTTGGGTATAGTTCATAAGGTTTCTCCCGACAGTTACATAGATTTAGCCTCCTAAAGGGATCAAAGTGTTTCAGTGCTGAACTTCCAGATAATCTGATATTGCTGGCTGGACAAGCCTGCAGGAAACCCCCAAACTCCCCTCAGCACAACTAAACAGACCATGACAACTGATAGTTATAAAACAGAAAAAGATATGATCGAGCTCCACTGAAAGCCCAGCCAATAAATAGATGAATACTTAGACAGTGTGTTTAAGCTGCCCTTTTTTGGTCACTTTTACTCGAGTAGGATACGACTGAATTGACTGTGGACGATGTCTTTGTCTATGGTGTTGTTTAAGTGTGTCTATAAAAATATGTGCATGTGTGCAAAGTGCCTTTTTTAAGGTAGAGATCTGAGTTACTTTAGTTGAGTATATCATGATAGATTGTACTATTTACTCCACTACATGTATTTGACAACAATAGTTACCCATAGTTTGCAAATTAAAACATTACATATGGAAACAAAATTGCTTTCAGAATCTTTTAAATTGAACAAAATAAAAACCTTTGAGCTGAAATGATCAACACACACAGGTAATTAAATGCACGTGATGGATGAGTGTCACATATAAGGTCACTTGTGTTAATTTGCACTGTGTTTACGAGGAGTAAATGTTCTGTGTGTTGCTGGCTCTTACCAGGGTGTGTTGCAGGAGTGTGTGAGTGTGAGGTAGCGGACCCCCAGCTGGTACATGAGGCGCAGGGTTCCCAGACTGCTGTCCAGGGAGTGACCCCCCTCCACCCCGATCAGACTGGCTGTCTTGTTCATCCTGAAGGCCGTCATGATTTCTGAGCAGAGCAAACATGAGTGTGATTCAGAGACAGGTGTGAGTGGAGGAAGCAACAGTCTCTGGAATTACTATAGTCTCACCATGGCTACTGGTGGCAAACATGAAGGTTTCTGGGTATTTTTGACACATCCTGTGAACCACGTCTATCTGCTCCAGTGTTTGTCTGACAGCATCTTTGAACTGACTCTCACAGGGAACATATGCAGACCAGAACTGTAAGAGGAACAGAGATCATGTATTAATTATCAACACGCCCTGTATTCAGGGGATTGTTATTGACCCGGTAAGTTCCTAATTAGAATCATATCTCTTTTTTTATTGCTTTATTGATGATTTATTATGTATGTTTTATTTATATGACCTGGGTTGTGAGCTCACCTACAAAATGGCTGCAATAAAGCTGTTAAAATGAAGATACACACAATGAGCCCTTAACATTTGCACACAGCACAGGAAATAAGGCCCAGGGGATACACAAGAGTCATAGCTATGCTTGTTTTAAACAACTGTGTTCAACATTTTAAAGTTTTTGACCAATATGTTGCTATCAAAAAATAAATGTCCTGCTCCAGCTTGCATAATATTCAAAGGTAGTTTATTCAAGGTCATTGCCTAATAATCTTTTCTGGTGTCAATAAAAACTGATAAGTGATAAATCTCTCTCTGTATTCTGAGCGAGGTTCATCCAATTATCTTGCTTAATTTATAATGATGAGAGCATGATTCAACACAAAAATAAAACAGAGATGAATGTTCAATCTGATAAATACACATCCAGGGTACAACAGTTAGGGATTCACTGACTTTCTCACCTTTTCAAAATATCTCAACCGCCCGAATACGGATCTGTGCTATTTTTCACATTGTTTAAAATATGTATGCATTAATGCAGTGGTTTCTATGAATAGTAACACGAGACTATGGATTGCAGTGACACTAAGCGGTGTAAGCGGTTGGCAAGCTGTGAAAGAGCGAATGTATTTACGCAAAGATGTACAATGTCTCTGAGATAATAACATTTGTAGATCGGTCTTGCCACAACCCGATCTTCCTTAATATAGTCCGTCAAAGTAAGATACCAAACCGCATGTGTGGAGAAAGTCTTCACATCCTATTAATTGGTTGTACAACGTATTATAACCTATATTATTGTACAAGTACCACTAATGCAGTAATGTGCATACAGTTTTGTTGTAGCTGGTTAAAGTAAAGATATGTTAGGAGAGGGGATGCGGTTACTTACAAGGCAAAAGGTGTTTATGAAGTGGTTAAATATTTCATTAGATTGAATTTTAAAGATTTTTGGAAGACAGGATGTTTGTCTCAGCAGACGAAGAATCACATGACTTTTCAGGATGGTTTTCTTTGATTTCCCAGTAATATGTTCCGTACGTACTTGCGCTCCCAGTCGTCCCTCCTTGATCTTTGGGATGTTGGTGTGGGTTGTATCCAGCGTGTTAAGATCCACTTTGTTGAGCTCGTTGTTGAATCGCATTCGAAGCTGCCAAGGCAGGTCATTATGCCTGAAATATCAGGAAATCAAAGGGTTAGAGCCTCAAAAGCCTTTTCCCAAGACTTTCATCATAAACTGTGATTTCACAGCAGGGAGGTACTGCCCGTTTCCCCAGATCACCACTAGAAATTGCTTCCAGAAGTGAGTTTTTACTACCAAACATAAATAGTTTACTGCTTTTGCTCATATGGCAAACAGCACATAACCTCAATAGAGAAAATCATAACACGAAACGTTCACTCAAAGACTTTTCCTCTTACCCGTCAATGAGTGGGGTTTCAGACATCAGCTGCAGAGCTCTGGTCATGTATGGATCCTCAGCCGCGGCACAAGAGCTGATCCACAGCATTAAATATGCAGCTGAGATAACTTTGGACAACATTTCCTAAACTTTAATACACTGTTAAACGATCTGCCCTTTTTTTCTTTAACCCTAACCCTAACCCCCTAACGTTTTAGTTCTCTTTTAGCTCAATCGCAAGATCCCACTTCTTAAACCTTCTGCAACCTCTGACCAATCGTGATTTAACCTCCTGCTGCTGAAACAGATCTCTTTCCTGCTTTGCCAATTGCCAATCTTTTAGATTTTAGTTTGAAACTATACAGATTCTTGAAATGATCCACCCAGCTGTCTGTCTGTTTCCGTCCGATTGAACCACTGAAGATTAACTCTGCTCATCGCTCCTCCTCTGTTTTGAATCTGTTTCTTATTACAGCGTCAGCAGTCATAAACGCAGCACAGTAGCTTATTAACTCTTACAATCTTACAATTGTTAACCAATACATACGTCCGGCAGCATTTTTTTTAAATGTTGAAGTTAAATGCATCAATCTGGTGCACTTTGAGAGCAAAATTAGGGACTAAATCTATGGCAGTCAGTAGGGGCTTGGACTGTGAGCCCTAGGGTCTCCGGTTCAAGTCCCCGAACAGACCTAAATATGGAGTGTGGACTGCTACTTGGAGAGGTCCCAGTTCACCTCCTGCCCTGCCGTGGTGCCCTTGAGCAAGGCACCGGACAATCCCCTTCCCCCCCCACTCCCATTGCTCCCTGGGCGCTGTACGATAGCTGCCCACTGCTCCTAGTCTAGGGACTCCTGGTACTAGGATGGGTTAAATGCAGAGGCCAAATTTCACTGTGTGCTGTGTGCTCTGCATGCTCACATGCTCATGGACACATGGATCATACCAGAGCTACTAAGCAGAACCAGCAGAGCAGTCTGGAGCACATAAACATCTTTCCTGCAGGAGAGGGACTTTGAGTCACACACGCACAAACATGGAAACATGGAAACTAAGGAAAACACTAGGGATCAGCAAAGCCCAAAGGAAGTGGTCTTGGAAGCGTTATTCGTAGAGGTTTGTCTTAAACTAATACGTTTGCGCTGTGGACCAA